CCTTCCATGACCTCCTGTGTCCTTCCAGAACCTTCCATGACCTTCTGTGTCCTTCCAGAGCCTTCCATGACCTCCTGTGTCCTTCCAGAGCCTTCCAGGACCTCCTGTGTCCTTCCAGAACCTTCCATGATCTCCTGTGTCCCTCCAGAGCCTTCCAGGACCTCCTGTGTCCTTCCAGAACCTTCCATGACCTCCTGTGTCCATCCAGAACCTTCCATGATCTCCTGTGTCCTTCCAGAACCTTCCATGATCTCCTGTGTCCCTCCAGAGCCTTCCATGATCTCCTGTGTCCATCCAGAACCTTCCATGACCTCCTGTGTCCATCCAGAACCTTCCATGACCTTCTGTGTCCATCCAGAACCTTCCATGACCTTCTGTGTCCTTCCAGAACCTTCCATGACCTTCTGTGTCCTTCCATGACCTTCCAGAGCCTCCTATGTCCCTCCAGAACCTTCCATGACCTCCTGTGTCCTTCCAGAACCTTCCAGAACATTCCATGACCTCCTGTGTCCCTCCAGAGCCTTCCATGACCTCCTGTGTCCTTCCAGAACCTTCCATGACCTCCTGTGTCCTTCCAGAACCTTCCAGAGCCTTCCATGGCCTCCTGTGTCCATCCAGAACCTTCCAGAACATTCCATGACCTCCTGTGTCCTTCCAGAACATTCCATGACCTCCTGTGTCCTTCCATGACCTTCCAGAGCCTCCTGTGTCCCTCTAGAACCTTCCATGACCTCCTGTGTCCTTCCAGAACATTCCATGACCTCCTGTGTTCTTCCAGAACCTTCTGTGTCCTTCTGACCCTTCCAGAACCTTCTGTGTCCTCCTGACCCTTCCAGAACTTCCTGTGTTCTTCTGACCCTTCCAGAGCCTTCCAGGACCTTCCGTGCCCATCTGGGACCTTCCGAGACCTTCTGACCCTTCCAGACCCTTCCGTGTCCTTCTGACCCCCAATAATCCACTCCAAAATCTCCCAAAATTTCTCATTTTCCACCCAGAATTCCAGCTGGGCCGGCTCCCTTGGCTAGAAAATCCCATTTTTTTGCACAGAAAAATCCCATTTTTTGGGGCAGAAAAAAATCAAATTTTTGGGGAGAACTTTTTGATTAGAAACCTGATTTTTGAGGGAATTTTTTGGGTGGAGAATATATCTTTTTTTTTGTGCAGAAAATCTGATTTTTCAGGCAGAAAATCTGATTTTTTTTGCGTGGGGAAAATCCCATTTTTTGGGGCAAAAAAACTGGATTTTATTTGTGCAGAAACTTGGATTTTTTTGCCGAAAAATCCGATTTTTTCCTCTAAATGTTGAGGGTTTTTTTAATGAAAAAAAATCAATTTTTTCCCCATTTTTCCCCTTTTTTCCCCCAGATTTCTGCATGAACCCGCAGACCGTGCTGCTGCTCCGCGTCATCGCCGCCTTTTGCTTCCTGGGCATCGTCTGCAGCCTCGGCGCGTTCCTGCTCGACGTCTTCGGGCCCAAACACCCGGCCCTGAAAATCACCCGGCGCTACGCCTTCGCCCACATCCTCACAGGTGGGGCCCCAAACCCTCCCGAAACCCAAAAAGTCACCCAAAAATCCCCCCAAAATTGAAAAAAAAAATGGAAGGAATTAGTCCAAAAAATCCCCAAAAATTTAAAAAAAAAAGGGAAGGAATTAGTCCAAAAAATCCACAAAAATTAAAAAAAAAAGTGGAAGAAATTAGCCCAAAAATTCCCCAAAGATTAAAAAAAAAACTGGAAGGAATTAGCCCAAAAATCCCCCCAAAAATTAAAAAAAAAATGGAAGGAATTAGTCCAAAAAATCCCCCTAAAATTAAAAAAAAAGGGGAAGGAATTAGTCAAAAAAATCCCCAAAAATTAAAAGAAAAGGGAAGGAATTAGTCAAAAAAATCCCCAAAAATTAAAAAAAAAAGTGGAAGGAATTAGCCCAAAAATCCCCC